AAGCACAGCACATTGCCTTTGGAGTATTCGGGAAGTCGTATAACGCCTTCGCGTCGTTCTTGCTCGCAAAGAGCATACATAACAGCGTGCCCTTGCCCAAGACTACCAGTAGCCACTAGCTGGAACAATGGAAAACTTTAAGATAAATTTATTACTATTCGTTACTTACCTAACTTTGTTGTTCTGATAAGTAGAGTCAATACATACTGCCTCTAGGTGTGGGTGGTAAATAGCTATTTGCTTCCTGCAATTGCAGCAAATTATACATATATATATTACGATGTTTATTGAATACTTTTACTTCAGTGTTTGCTTGAACGCGCAGTAAAATGCCGTTGATATTTTTAACGTCTAAGCTCAATTAATTACAATGTGAGTTTAACAACCTGGATACAACTGTGATCACTTTTTGGCGACATCGTCCTTGGTAAGCGGTTTGTGGAACTTCCAAGAAACCATATGTCATATGCTATGAGTTGGCTTATTACTCACTAGAAACAGTCCTAGGTACAATCGTCCACTCAACGACAACTTTCATCTAGAAGAATCTACAAAAATGTATCCATCTGGGCGAGGATGGTTGTGCATGGTTTTGATAGAGGTGACTTCTAGCTCACTAACTACTGCACGGACCCACAATCCACATTGGTAGCGGCAATACATCAACCTGGAGGATAAATTCATTTGAAATGAAACATGTGTAATGACCGACGTCGTCTAGGTTGTGGTAGTGAGTTGGAGGAAGATCACTACCATCATCTACATCCTAAAAACAAGCATCTGATTCTGATGCACTGCGTTTACGTCCATTAGTACAAACATATCTGACGAAAACAACAACGGTCTGTGACGACTCTCTCATAATCATGAACCTCATAGACAATCCTGACCTTCCTCTCAGTTTGCAGGACAAAAACGACAGGATGCTCTGGGGTGAACTGAACAAAAAGCTCGAACTTCCTAGAATAGAGCCTTTGATGGTCACACGGCTCACTCGGGGAAAGGAATCTAAACATCAAAATCACCAGAGACTACTTCGTGTAACACTCAAGAATGCTACCGAAGTAGAGGATGTCCTGCTAGCTAGTCATCTACTGAAATCAGATGAGAACGCCAGAATACTGCCCGACATACCGTACTCTGAGCGCAATCTCATCCGGAACGTCCCTAAAGATTCTCGAGAGAAGTTTTTCCGCGGAGGAAATATCATAGTGCAAGATGTACCGGAAAACATGAACCCTACTCAAGCAAACTCTAGTATTCGGGAATGGAAATTCATCAAACAGTCCTCGAGGCTTAAAAACATACTGACTCAGCATGTGATGAGACTAGTCAAGAAGGACGGGGATCCTAGACGCCGACTGATGAGGATAACTTTTCCATCCTCCCATATGGCGGCTGCAGCTCTGGAAGCATTTCGTGTCAACAGACGTCGGTTGCCAACTGGGATCCACATGCACCCGGACAAACCATACGACGCCAGGATCAAGCACAAAGGCAATTGGAGCTGACCATTCCACTTGTGGACTGTCTTGAAGATAAAAAAACGTGTAAAGGACAGGGCCTACCGATTCGACAAAACTTGTATAAGTGAGTTACCTGTCCGCTCACGTAAGGCTCTCACAGACAAACAGGAAGAAGCTCACGCGTTTCAAATTGAAAGCATTAACTGCTTGTACATGAACGCCGCGAGTCTACCAAATAAAATGGATGAACTAAGCGAACTTAGCAACGCTAATAAGATTCATCTGATAGGAATATCTGAAACTTGGATATCTCCTCATTATTCGGACCAGGAGCTAACAAAACCTGGGATGTCTCTGTTTCGCAGAAAAACAGGAATTGGGTGTGGAGTAGCCGGAAACATACGATCTTGCTTGGAGGTACACCAAGTTCACAACCATGAGTTTGACAATCTTGAGGAATCCATATGGTGCTCTATGAGATTGTCCACTACTTCGAGGTGTCTAGTCGGAGTCATATATAGGAAGCCCTCTGCCGACATAGAGTATGACAGTCGCATGCTGAAAGGACCATCCCGCTCTACGCGTCTCAGCTTCACTCATATCCTGATTCTAGGGGACTTCAATCTCCCTAGAGTCAACTTCGTGGAACATACGTATACTGGAGGTGAAAATTCAATTGAAGCTCGGTTCTTCAACCTCATTGAGGACTTGGGACTACACGAAAATGTGAAGTTAGCTACTCGTTGGAGGAACAGTCAAACAATGTCGCGCTTAGACTGTGTTTCTACAAATGAAGAATTTCTAGCCGACAACCTCTCAATTCCGGTTCCCCTGGGGGAAAGCGATCAAGCCGTTATAGCCTTCAGTTTCGTCAGCAAAACTGTGCTAAGATATCCCAACAACAACAAGCGCTGGAATTTCAAATGATTGAATGAGTCAGCTCTACAGGACTATCTACGACAGGTGTATTGGGATGTTCACCCTCAACTTGATGTGGATGCTCATTGGAACTTCCTATTACACACGCTCTTATGTGCTACAAAGCAGTCAGTCCCTCAAACGGTCCCCAAAAGCCACATGCAACCTACAATCATCAAAAACCGCACTCTTCGTTTGCTAAGCCGTAAAAGGCATTGTTGGGCAGAATACAAACGAACCGGCAACAACAGCGCGTACAGGCAATACAAACATATAAGGAACATATGTACGAAGGCTATAAGAGAAGATAGGCTCCAGTACCAGTTAAAGCTTATGGATAAATTTATTTTCAATCCGAAAAGCTTATTCCGTTACGCAGCCTCTCTTCGTCAAGCCAAAACTGGAGTTTCTCAACTGCTAGGTCCTAACGGCCCGACCGATAATGACGGTGACGCCGCTAACCTCCTGGCTGAGCAATACTCCCGAATATTTCAACCGTCCCACATCAACTATACTGATGACGGCTCTATCTGCAACTTCACAGGACTTTCCGTAGTGAAACTGAGCGCTGACTTGATGCTCCGAAAACTGCAGCATCTAAGAACAGATACGTCTCCTGGTCCAGATATGGTCTATTCTGCTATATTGAGGGAAACAGCTTCAATCCTGGCAACACCGCTTAGCGTGATGCTCTCACACCCGCTAAGTCGAGGCGAACTACCGGATATTTGGAAGCTGGCTCATATCACACAAATTTTCGAAGGAGGTCGACGCAGCGAACCTTCAAGTTTCCGACCGGTGGCTCTTCTCTCTATACCTTCAAAAATCATGGAGTCCCTGATATACGATGGTATGCACGACTATCTGCTGTCCTTAAATTTCTTCTCACCCCAACAGCATGGTTTCAGGAAGGGTTACTCCTGTATGACGAACCTGCTGACCGCGGTGGACAGATGGACAAGCATCATTGATCGCAAGGGGAAGGTGGACATCATTTACCTTGATTTCTCTAAAGCTTTTGATAGGGTTAACCATATCTGTCTTATTAACAAGCTCAAACAATTGGGTATCAAACCACCTTTAATTGACTGACTCAGTTCATATCTGACAAATCGATATTTTAAGGTCAGGGTAAACTTTAATTTCTCAAAGGCTATGGAAGGTCCTAGTGGGGTCCCCCGGGGCCCAGTACTAGGACGTCTTCTCTTCTCGGTTTATATAAATGACCTTCTACAACAGGTAACGTCAGACTTATTACTTTTTGCTAATAACGTGAAACTTTGGAGAGATATTCGCAACCAAGAGGACATACAGGCACTTCAGGAGGATCTGACTCGACTTCAAAGTTGGGCAGACAATAACGGACTTACCTTTAACACTCCAAAGTGTAAAGTAGTCCATCTGCGACACGTCGCAGACTACAGTTACAACTTAGGAAACTCCTCTCTAGTAGTATCCCGAGTAGAAAAAGATTTAGGAGTTCTGATGCCCTACGACTTAAAGTCTTACGCCAACTGTGACAGAAATGCCTTTCGAGCAAACCTGGCACTGGTAACATTGAAGCGCATTTTTGGTCAGTTTGACGGGAGAACTTTTCACATAATCTTCAATAGTTTCATTCGTCCCAATTTAGAGTACGGAAACATAGTATTCCCTCCTACACTCCAAAAGGATAAGGACACTCTGGAGCGTATCCAACGGCGAGCCACGAAATCAGTTCGGGGACTCAAATTTAAACCTTATGAAGAATGCCTTCAATCACTTAACCTTTACCCACTGGAGTATAGGCGTCTTAGAAGTGAGCTTCTGATGGCTTGCAGTATCCCTAACACTCTTGGACATCCTCTTAAACACCTACTTAGGCTAGGTCCCAACACTAACCTAAAGAGTAACACCCGAAAATTAGAGATACAACATAGTAGAACGGACTGCAGACACAACTTCTACTCCTTAAGAGTTGTCAAATGCTGGAATTCGCTGCCAGCTGAGCTAGTCCAAGCAACTTCCCAGGAGTCCTTTAAGAGGCGACTTGATCTATTCTTAAGGACTAAGGGTAGTATCTTACTATGATTTACCAATTCATTTTTTCTCTTTTATCGTTAATATACCTAGGTTCTTGCCTGGAGGTATTGATGATCCCCTGCTACTAGACACCTGGAAGCCTGTTAAGCGAAAGCTTCTTCTATTCCGTCCACAACCATTTGAAAAAAATACAAAGATGCCACAAGTATTCGGAGTTTGACAACAACTCAACTAGTTACATCTTCTGTAGCCGACATATGCCAATCCAATGAAATTTGAAGTCAGAAGCGAAGAGGTTCGATCTACCGAGAAGTGACTAGTCTAAGACGGCTAATGGTAGTAGATATGAAGCACGGAGTATCATTGGAGATTCATCATATATCATTCATCATTACTATGGCATCGCTTTCATTACTTGAAGGATGGACGTTATCAGACAGTGTGGTCGAACTCGAATCAAATTTAAATTGTCTGGATTCGACCGCTTCTGAAAAACCTTATGAATTGTTGAGGTAATGCCCCAATTGTTTTACGGCAGCTTGGCCTTGAACGCTCAGTCAGTGGGTGATACCACTAAACCGTTACCGTGATCACATGGTTAGTCTTGAGTTTTCTTACCACACCATAATTGTCTATCTATCAGTCTATGAAATCTCTTAAGATGAATAACAACATATATATTTATATCCTTCCGACAAATTTTCATATCACATTCGGATAAAATCATATTTATGTCAATACAAATTGACCGAAATCAGCATTAGGCCAATGTATCCTTGCTTTGTAAATTGTATATTTTAGTAAAGTAGATTTAGGAAAACCTAATTTATAGTTAATGGTAACAAAAGTGATTGGCTTTAAGTAAACATCGCGATATTTAGTCAAAATCAGTGTTCTTTAACGCGGTGTCAATCATTTGTCAAAAAGTTAGTAATCTTTATTAAAGTTCGTGATTAATTGTGTGAACAGTTATAATAAATAGTATGCATGTTCGTTAGGTCACTAGATGCCTACCAAACACGCACAAGTTTTAATAAAAGTAGGAGAATCTTGTAATTCTACTGTTTCAGTAGTATAGAGGTAAAACTAAAATTACTTTTTAACATTGGTTGAGTTCAAAGTGGTGGCACTTCTAAGTGTACTAGAGTATAATGATAACAGTCGATCAGGAGAATGAAATTTAGACTAGGGATACGAATTGACTGGGATTTTACCCAATCCACATTCTTGGTTTAGGAAAGTGAGCAACCTTAAAAATATTCATCTTCTATGGGTCAGCAAATCTTCGTAGACCGAATCTCTTCCAATGAAAAAGAAGCTCCGAGTTTCACTATCAATCATTAGATCTGGATTATTACATTTACCATACATACATGTGTTAAATTAGCTTATTTGGATGTCACATACACATTTCCTTCGTGTTAGTCGGTTCTTACTCATCTGCTCCCTCCATCCGCTTGCTATTCCCTTCCTAATTGTTCTAATAGTTGTCCAACTCTGGTTGATTTTGTTATAACTGTTCTGATATGTGATATCTTGAACCGAGTCTAGGTCCCATTTTTTACTTTAACTGGGCATATCATCAGAATATTAACAAGCATAAGACTCAGTACTTTATATAGTGCTGGAACTGCAAAATAGTGAAGGTCATCCAACCAACTATTATGAGTCGGTATCTTCAAATTGCTCTAATAGAGTCATTTTGCAGAACATTAGTTTATTTGAGGGTATTTTATTACATAACTGGAAACTTGTTTTCATCCCACTCTTATTTTTTTGCAGAATCACTCAGTCATGGCCAATGGTGAAAAGAGAACCCCTTCAGTCATTTTAATGGACTTCTTTAATATGATTCCGTTCACAGATCGGACTAGCGTTTCTTCAACTTTAACCGAAATCCGCAACAGCCTGGATGATGTAATTCCAAATACTAATCCTATAGCACCATTTATTAGCAAAATCAGGCAGCTACAGTTAGTTTTCATGAGGATTCCCATGGTATTAAGAAAACAAATCAAATCCCTTTTACTGGAAGGCTTAGAAGCGTCGTCAGAAATCTCTAACCCACTTCTGTGTATTTTTACACTGTGTCTATGTTTATTGGAATTAAGCGTTTTGAGAAACTGTGATCGGTCAGACTTAGAAAGCGAAGATATTTGGACAACTATCAAAGAATTAAATCGTTCTATATTACCCAAATTATGTGAAAAAATAAAGCAACAAAAAACGAATCTGCCTTCACTTTTATCATGGTCATATTGTATGTTAGCATTCACTTTCTATGCTTGTGCAGAGTGGGTACATAATCAAGGTTGTGAACCTTCACCTTCCTTTTGTGTCCAGAATCCCGTAGTTTTAGATGAAACTATTTTGGATCATCCGACTGTGCCACATATATTGCGCCATATTCTCTATAATCAGGTAAAGAATAGACCTTATTTTACACCACCTACTTCACGAACGCTAATAGATCTTATATTTTCAAGTGCAATATCTAGCAATGCAGGAATTTTAATGTCTTGTAAGTATAAAAAAACATACGACCTATCCGACTGTTGTATTGAATTTGATGAACCTCCGGTTCAACCTGTCAAAGTTGATGAAATCAAATCTAATCCTAAAGACAAACCACGTCAATTGCCTTCATGTTTTCAAGATAATTTACAAACAGGTTCCTTCAAAAAAATTTATTCTAACCTGAGTTTGTTGAAACAACTACTTGGAAATCCTGACTCCCAGAATTCTTTACTGGAACCATTAATTTTCAGCTTACGACAGTCACCTTTCATATTGAAACGCTTGAGAAGTTGCTTGTCAAGTCTAAAACCAAATGACACTAATATCTGCTTATATGAGAAAATTTATACCTTACTACTACAATTGTGGTTTCAAGCTGCTATGGATCGTACGTTGCTTAAGAATTTTCCACAATCATATATATGGTTGTGTGGTTTCACTTGCCCGATGTATGAGGTATGTTTTCGTATTATGAGTTATTTGATTACATGAAATTTCTGATGATTTTCTCCATTAGTATAAAGCTTATGTATCGACGTTTAGAGCCACAAGTTACTTTTTCGTGATGTAAATTGGCAATTCCATAACAGTACCATAGCGAACAAGATAAAGTGAAAAATCGGAATGTACGTGCGTCTAAATGACTAGCATAAATTTTAAGGTTTTTTTTCTCGGTTATTCAAGCATGTATTTTTACCGTTAGGGTTATGAAATATCAACAGTACATATCTCGGTCGTCTCTGTTAGTGTAACTCGTCATAGGTTTATTCGCTTATCACACCCTAGACGTTCAGAAGGCATTACTTGCCGAATACTGTCAGAACTTCTCATATTTTACTTTCTGTAGTCTTGAAATAAGACACCATTTGTGAATTCCTTTTACCTAGTTCTGTCAAATTAGTTTCTTGTCCCGTCTATAATTAAATCTTGTATCTTAAAGTTACTATCAAGAAAAAACGATAAATTTGTGGATGCTCAGTTCATTGCTAAATGAAAACAAAATTCCTATTACCCAATAATACATTTGTCTTAAACCAGTCACTCAATATTTGTTTTTCAAGTGATCAAATTATCTAGTCTTAGTTTTATACTAAATTTGCCAATATTACTTACCATACATAAAAATTAGAATGGCTTCCCAACTAGTATTGTTAACCATAGCCTGTATGAATTAACGGATTCTCGTTATATGTTCATAAAAAAGCAAGGCGGATACAATAGTTAGAAGCTGATGGAGTTTTGTTCTCTAAGCTGGATGTTTTGGTCGTGGAGCTTTCATCGTTCTTCTGAACGACATCAGCAAAAACTTCAGGTAGAAGTGTCACTATTCAAAGTACCAAGCTTCCAATAAGTGAAGTAACAAGATAAATTTCATAAAAATAACAATCAAGGAACAAGTGATTGCATTATTAAGGTAAATATTTAGATGTTGTTATGATTTTTTGCTACTAATCACCGATGATCTAGCGCCGTATAATTCTGACGAGATAATGTCAGTATTTTCTGAACAATAGGTGTACGTTATTATGATATAGCTATCTGTCATTATTCAGTTCTTATAAACTTTTGTTTCATAAGTTCTTCATTACATTGTCCGCCGGATTATTATGGATTCACAACATGTGAAGCTACACGACAGAGTAATTTAAGGGTATGTGACCGAAAATGTATTCTTTGCCGGGTTTGTGCATGCGATGTTAATGATACTCCTTTTAATTCTATAGGTAATGAGTATGACTGGATTCTATGATGCTGTTATATGGACTGGGCGTTTTCTGACTGCTTATGAGAATATGTTTAGGTCATCAATTTTTAACTCACCGCACTGGTACCTACAAATGATTACGGATGCAGTGATTGCTATAATAGATCGATCAGGAAAAGGTTAGTTTACGTTCTGCATGATAATCACGAGTAGTATGTTAATATATTTTGTTATATCTTTTAGGTGGTCTACTTCTAAATAGAAAGATCTGTCCATCTTCTTGTGTTATGTTAGAGGCAGTTGGCTAGTCTCTGGATATATTTTAATGATAGTTAGCACTCGTTGATAAGGCATATATGTTGTTTTGAGACACCAATCGATATCACGTGCTGAATTCATCAATCAGAATTTCAGTTATAATTTCTTCACCCGACGTCCGCTATTTTGTCTGTAGTTCAACATCCTTAGTCTTGAGCAATCATACGTTCTGGCTGACGCTATCGACCTCAAGCTGATGTAGGCTTGATTTCTATTAACCCATCTATCTACATACTTTTCTTTATTCCCAGCCGTGAATCTGAAAGAAAAGTCTACACCTATGCTTCTATCATATTTGAATCACTGAGCATGTATCAAATACTTATTAGCTTCTATATATAAATTACGAGACCATAAAGCACCCCAAATATAAAATCATACTTCCCAATTAATCGTACCATAAGTCACTAACAATAATTAAGAAACAGTAAAGCACAAAGTAGTCAGTAGGCCCATTGTTGGCTTACAATAAAGGGATATATAGGAATACGATGGTATCTATTAGATATACAATAGAAGTATAAGTAATGTTAGTCCGTGAATTAGTCCCAAGAGTTAAGATTTTCTCGATACTCACTCTACCACAACAGTAATCTTGAAGGGACTATCCCTTGCTCAGTGATTGGAATTCCTCAGCTGGTGCTACTAAGGATAAGGAGTGAAGCAGTCGAACGCATTGACAACTTCACTTATCTTGGGAGTCTGATCAACCCTAATGGGTTGGTGTCTGACGAAATCTCAGCACGGATTCGAAGAGCTCATTTGCTTTTTACCAATTTATGCCGCCTATGGCGAAGGCGAGATATCCGTCTATCAATTAAAGAACGAGTATACTGCGCGGCAGTTCGTTCCGTTCTACTCTATGGCTGGGAAACATGGCCATTAAGAGTAGGAGATATTCGTAAGCTACAAGTATTCGACCACAGACGCCTTAGAAATATTGCTCGCATCTTCTGGGATCACCGGGTAAGTAATTTTGATGTTAGACGTAGGGCATTAGGGAATGATGGTAAATCAGTTGATGAGGTTGTGAATCTTCATCGACTGACATGGTTGGGCCACGTGCTGCGTATGCCTGAGCACTGATTACCACGACGCGCAGTGCTAACCGGTGTTAGGGATAATTGGAAGAAAGTTAGGGGCGGCCAAACCAAAACGTGGCACCAGTGCTTGAAGACACTAACTTCTGGTCTGAGCCATGTTGGTAGATGCAGACTGCCTGGTTGGGATCCGCGTGACTATCGTAACCAATGGTTGGAGACTCTTGGTGACATGGCTCAGGATCGATCACAATGGCGTCGGTGTATACACTCTCTGTCTTCCTTCAAACTAAGAGATTAAAATCGCTTCATATTTTTTTCTTTCTACGAACTAATTCTTTCTTCCTGTACTATCTCCTTATATGCAATCTTTCTTCTATATATTACCACCATTGAATTAACTACTATGAATCCGGTGTTCATCTTGTTGTGCTAATGCGGTATGGCAACTTCGACCGATGCATATATGTGCCTGGTCCTACGTTGCAGCCGATTGCTACTATCAGTGAAGTTTGTATGTGGTTGTTTGAGCTGTAGTTAATTATATTTAGTAATGATCAATATCGTATAATCTAGTCCATAATGCTGATTCGAATAAAGTAATGACAACAAGCATAGCAAAATAATACACATCCATTTATTTTACGGATTCTCTTAAGCTGCTTACAATTTTAGAAGCAATAGTATGAATCATGTAACAAACGGATGTACATATCTTACATCAAATAGACAGAAGTCTTCATTAGTGAACATCGGTAAAAAAAGTGAATAAAACTAGGAATATCCGTACGGTTTATTATTTATGCTAACTAATATGAATATTTTATTGAGGAATTTTTGAAAATATACTTCTAGAAACGTAAAACTAGCGCGAAAATTTAGGTATTACAAACAATGGATTGGTTAAAAGGAATGTAACTGATAGCATGAAATATGTAATCTAACAAAGTATTAAAAACTGTGATCACTAGGTCAGTGCAAGACTAAAAATAGTACTTTTTGAATAGACATCTGGTTTGTCCTACAATAATGATGGATTTAACGAAACACAATGAATACGCCATGTCCACCACCAAGTAAACAATAGGCAATCGCACTACTAAAGATATGTTGACCTTTTAGCCTCGACCGCCAGTCTTTGAGAAACTAATGCCGAAAGTAACGATCTGTCTACACTATTTATTGCATAGAATTAGTTGTTGTGGTAGGAAAACTGTTAAGTTAGTAATTCACCTTCTGAAGAAATCGCATGTTACGGTCATCAGTTAGGACAATTTTAATAAGTAGGATAATAGTTAAACTTGTTTAATTCAGGCGTGATGACGATTTTTGAAGATAGTAACACTACGAGTCAGGGGATAATCATTGACATAAACTAAAATGTCAGCTCAACATGCTAAAGATGTTGACCTATAATTTAGGTACAATAGGTCCAGGTTGATCATATATGTGCTGCGTACAATGACACTTCGATTCGTTTCTAAGACTCTGAATTGAAACGTTACATAGACCAGTAGCCTTCGAACACGAGTCAGAAGCACTTGCCAACTTTTTGATACGATTTGGTGAAAAGTCGGTAAACACGGGCTTAACCATGAATATCGAATATAAGCTAAATAAATATTTTTCTCATTTACCATGTTATAGGTAGTCAACAGGATATATCATCTGATCAACTGGATGAATTGCTTTGTAGTTGTATGGCTGCAATTGTCAGACCATTTCATGCTCTCAGAATTGAAGATCACGAAGTTTATGCTGAAATGTCTAGAGCGATTAAAGTCCCTTTAGAATCGATTGTATCACATCTTTCAAGTTGTTCAGTTATAAAAGATAGTTCAAGTACAAATATCAAAGAAAAAAAAACAAAAACAACAGAACCAACAAGTACAACAACTATAAATTTTAGATTAAAAGATTTCATAGTTCATCATCTCATATTTCCAATGATCAGAGCATGTGACAAATGGGCAATGGGACAAGCAAAGTTGGGAATAAAACCACATTGTGCAAAAGCTCTTCTTAATCAACTTATTATTGATGCTAAAATTCAAAATGAAAACATTGAAGGCCCTCCTCAAGTCGCACAAAAGTTGGATATCGTTAGACCACCTGCTGTAGGTGGCTTGCATGTAGCGGAAAAACTATCGTTAAAACGAAAACGATAAGATTTTTCATGTACAGCTGTAAAAAACGTGCTAATTTATAAATTTCTAACTTTTATGAGAATAAAAATGTATATACGAATGGATGGTTTTTCGAATGTACACGTGTACAACAAACAAACCTAAGGAATCACAAACAGAAGACTCTATCCTTTAATTTTGTAAATGTGGCTAGAAGAAAACGTTCTTTTTTTCTCTTTAGCTGAATTTTCTTATTTAAGAAGTACATAGGAATAATGAGGAAGTACATAATTGAGAGATAATAAATGTTTGCGTTTTATTCCGAGTCCGAAGATAATATTTGCACTCTACGAAATACACCCCCAACAGGTTCATCATTCTCAGGATGTCGTATTTCCGTTGGTCTATATTTCCAAAACAAGAAAAAAAGCTTTTTTGAAAAAACACAATTAAGATGTAAAAAGTAACAAATCAACAAATATATATATATATATATATATATATAGTTAGCAGTTCAAAAACAAATCCTAATAAACTTGTTACATTAAGGATTGTAATTTTACACACAGATTCAAGATATCAAATGAAAAGAACTCGCTACTGTGATCATAATAACAAAGGCAAAATAAACAAAAGCATGAAAGAATCTTATTATTAAGAAACTCCAAGTGTAGTTGTTAAGAACTTAAATATTCATAAAGATTAATAATTGTGCAAAAGAATTGCGTACAATGCGGAAATGTAACCAGAAGGAAATATGGGAACAGAATTAAGTTTGTTGAGAGAAAAAGCACAGGGTAAACGCTTTAGAATATTAGAAGTTAAGACCATAGTAGAGGAAGAGATCGCATAAGTTCATTTCGTATACACAATTCTGGCTTGTCTAGATTTATAGTGAAATTCCAGCAACACAGTGACAAGAGCTCATTGTTCTGGGCTAGTGACAAACACAACGTTATCCGCTCAAGTGTTCCAGAATATAACAGGAAAGTTTCATGTATTGTATGATCTCTCATCGAGCGAAACAATTAAGCAACTTTTACCTGTAGAGTGTATCAGTTAGGCCAGGGGACAAAAATATCAATATCAAGATTTAGTTCTGATGAGTTGGTGAAATAGTCATCAGAATACCTTTTTAAATGTACAATAATTTTTATTGGTAAAAAGGCGTAAGAATTCAAATTAATTATATCCGAAACGCAAAATAAAGCCAATTAATTTTAAAAATACGTAATAGATTCACTATTATCCAGTCTCCAGTTTTTCACTAAGAAGCTGTCACCAATCATTGGTTTAAACGTACAATCTGTTTAGAGTAATACGTTGAGGGACAAATGATGCAGACAAAACCATATAATTGGAATACTTACGACTCTGAATGATAAGTATCATGACCGTCTCCATTCTCATCATCTGAGGATAATAGACGCCTTCTTTTTTGAACTGGGATTTTCGGAGACCTTTGTGAAATATAGAGTAAATAAAATAGAAAAAATGTTGTATTTGAATATCCGAGAGTAGTGTTCTAACGTATAGCAGAACAAGGGTTAGAATCAAACTCTGAGTCAGTGCTTATTTTAAACATCAAACGAATATTTGGTAATTGACGCTATATCTGGTTAACGTTTCGTTCCATAGGTAGATACTACTGAATACCAACTTGCGATTCTACTTCAAATAAGTAATTCCCATTATCGCACTTAGATATAGGGGAATTATTACCAGATTTAATATCAACAATTGAATCAGGAAGAAGTGCACCATAGAACTGTCAGGACCATAGGTGTAGAAACTATACATAATAGTTGGGTTCGGTATTAACCAACATATATTATATCTTAGTTCCATGAAGCGATGTTTACTCTTGTTCATGTACTAGAAGTACTTTCTTGTTTTTATCTGCTTAGAATTTTTAGTTCAGGTGTTGACGCAGGCCAGTCCTGAAGCAACAACTTGCATTTAGAGTAGGAGGAGCGCATCCCACGATGATCATTTCACAGATACTTAAAAAGCTTATATGTCAGCACAGGGAAACTCGTGTGTATAACAGTGAAATCATAGAAGAAAAATTATAGAAATAACTATCAAGGGATGTCTTTTCAACGTTTTCCTTACTTACATAAAAAACAACCAATATTGTTAATTATTCCAACAACTGATTTTTTCAATCGTCACGTTTATACCAGCTTCAGAGTGGGATGATGTATTAGCGATGCAAGAAACTCAACTGAATATCTAAGGAAATTCTACGCAGTCTACTACTTATGAGAAAACATTCACGCGAATTTATGGACATCATATTCCAGTTTACACACTGCTTAATTTTTAATGATTTTTTCATAATGGAGTTTTATATACATAAAACGAAATAGCCACTATGACATTTTTGAACACCATACAACTATATGTACATGATATAACGTTATTAGGTCTATCTTTACCCTGATTCAGAGTTTGGAGAAACGGCTCCAGAGATATAATCATCTTGAGTATGATTCATATTGGTAATGTGATCCATTTGATCAGATGGTCTATCTGATCCAACTAACTGATTAATATATTCAGAACTGATATTTTCATTTGTGTTATGTTTTGAGTCTGAGCTGTAGGAAGTACTTGCTTCTTCTTCATATGATGAATTCATAGATCGTTCATCATCTGACGTTGATGAAGAAGATTTTTTCTTGCGACTCTTGCTTTTCTTTAGTTCTTTTGAAACATCCATATCCACATTTTGTATTTTTGTACGTTTCCTTTTATAGGCAGCTGTTTTAAGTTGATTCTCATTATCCACTAGACCAAGTTCAAGAATTTTAGCAGCTACTACACGTCTGGCACGAATAGGTGGAATATGTTTGTCTGATCGATTTTCATCCATAATTAATTCTTGTTCCAAACAACGTTGAACAGCTAAATCATGGTCTACCCTTATTTCATTCATGATTTCAGTTAGCATATCTAAAAGTAGACGTAAAAAACAAATCATAAAACACAACAACAGTTACGAATGGACAATTAATTTTATCTACAAATAATGTTAGAAATACACATTTTATTTTGGTAAAAACTTTACATCGACCTTAAAATAAAAAGTACCATGAGTGAAAAACACTATAAATATAAGTTTAAAAACTACATACATGATATGGATTCTTACTTTTTGAACCTTTGTGTAACTCGACTATGTCTCTTAGTCGAGCTATCTCCTGTTCAGTCCACTCACTGGATTCTCCATTGTTGAGTAAACGTCGATTTTGTCCACTAAGAGGTTTAGGGGGACGAACTCTAAAATGTTTATCAATAATGAATTTTATGATTTGCATTATACGGAATCCAAAGATGTTGAACTTATACATAGAAATTTTCATATTTTCTAAACCAAATTCCTTAAAAATAATAGTACTGAATGAATAGAAAATTCGATTGATTGCCTATTTGCACCTAAATGAACATATTAGAGCAAAAGCATTTGTGTGAAAACTTTTTAAAGATAACTTATCCGTCTGATAAAAAAGCAACCTTACTCAATATGCACGAATAATTCATTTAATTCTGAAATTTGATCTACGTTTACGATTTTAATGATCAGTCATTCTCTCACCTGCGTCGAGAATTTTCCATTTTTACATGCGTTGGAAACTACAGTACAGGTTCATATAATGCAATCTAATATTTATGCAAAAAGGAAGTTAATACGGTCTTTCCTATTAGACTATCTGCCGAATTAAATGATTTAATCGAAACCGCTTCTACTTGTATGTTCACTCAATCAATAAACACTATTGTAATTTTAAGTTACTTAGAAATGTATGTAAGCAGTGGTGTCCTTTCTTAATCTCAATTCTTTGTAGCCATAGGCCAAGTATTGCCTTCTGATATTCCACAGTGCAATGAAATACAAGGTTTTAAGAGTACCCATTAAATTTCTTTGTGTATTATCAGAAAAAATTTGCACATATTATCCTCATAATCCCACCGAACATTTTATAACTCGTTACTAATACTTTGACAAATGATACCAAATTTAGAGATATACTGTTAACTGAATCAAAGCTGTTTAATAAGTGTTGACTTTATATATTCCATTGTAAAACCTGCATAACCTATGTAAAGGAATGATAGAGTCAAATGAGAATGTTGATGTTGTTTGTGGGGTTCGGAGTTACCTAGTTTTATAGTCTAAAACATTACCACTGAACTATTTAGGCGATGACTGATCTCATGTACGACTGATATTTACAATTAATTGATCACTGAGTGGTGACCAATATCATGTTCGTCTAGTGTCTCTTAGTGTTGATTAAATATGCACGAAGTATTAAGTTGTTATTTGTTCAGAATAAAATAATAAAAATACTGTCGAGAAAAAAATATAAATTAACTAACGTAATTTCTTTGAGTTGTTTCGCTGATGTAATCAAGCCCAATGTAATCAATCTGGCAATAATTTGTCGACGAGTTTTACTAGAATCGGAAAAATGTTTGACTAATAGATCAGCTAAATCGTTACCTATTAAATTAGTTTTAGAAAGAGAAAAAAAATCATTTTATTCCATCGAAAAGCTATGTGATTATGAAGACCTATTCATTCCACTAGAATCATAGTCTTCGATCAATCTCCATTTATATCCTGAATCTAACTTTAATCAAGACATTTTTCACACAGAGTAGGTACGTTGTACCGCTTTCTAAATAACTAATTGTTTTTTAGAGTGTAACCAGCTATTGAATAGAATTCGCCAAAGAAATAAATCCTTGCTACATTTACTGTCCCTGATTTTATTAACATTATTTTTATGAAAGATAGTGTTAACATGTAGAGCCACATACAATTTCTAATCATGAAGAACAAATAACCAAGTCGGTTTAACTGAATGTCTTCAGAATTGCATTACATGTTCCCAACAACACACTGGTCTAAGCGGATTATATACATTCAAATTATTATCATTTCCCTACAACATGCGATGCAAATAAAATATTCCTAATAAATTAGCTAATAAAAGAAAACCTACACATGGAATGAGCATAAGAAAATCCAT